CCCTTCCCCAAAAAAAAAAAAAAAAAAAAAAAGCACCTGGAAATTTATTTCCCACCAAAATCAATTTCCACAAATTCACGGAAAATGGGTCACATGGGTGGGAGGGAGGGAATTCATTTTCCGGGTAAAATTTTGCTATCAAACAGCACAAATGGGTGGAAAATGGACCTATCAAACAGGCCCTAAGGTTAAATTCATTTGCTAGATATACTATTTCATAATAGATACTCTAGATCATAAAGAAACATGGTATATATATCCTTTATTCCTTTGATCATACCATTAACCTTAAATTCTTACATGCCCCAGACAGAATAAGTGTATGACAGAGGAAAATCCCAAGTGAAGATCCAACATCACAAGACCTCGTATGGAGATTTAATGAGAATACTCAATACTGTACAGACAAGAAGAGAAAGCCCAGTTTGTCGAGGAAAATCAAGACATTGTGTAAGATAATGTTCTGTAGTAGCCCGGTGAGACATTCAACTAAATTCAGAAATCTCACATTTCACCTAATAACGTGCATTGAACTGGTCGTCGTCTTGTTTACTATATGAGCAACAAAAATCAGAAAACTTGTCTACATGTAAAGAGATGCACCAAGGAAGCACAAAACCGTACATAGCTGAGAGTAAATACAAAAAGACCAGCTAACCAAAAGTGGGTTGTAGAACAAATGATTTGCTGGTTTGATGACCAGCAATCAATCTTCAAGTTTAAACACCCAATAATCTATACCAAAATAATTTCCCCACCTCTACAACATTCAAGAATGTTTGAACCAATTTGACCAATTACTGGAGCAGGACCCAAGAATTTTAAAGAAAAACACGCGAGTCCTTGTTGTGCCTTGAATGCCTTGAACTTCAAATTATTAATGGTAATTAAGCAAAATATGATATATAAATTTTAACCGGGAAATGAAAATTGATACAAATGGTTCACATTAAAAACAAATGGATATACCTTGGCAGCCACTTCTAGGGATTTTTTGTAAAGTTCATTTTGTGGATCCTGCACCCGAAAGAACAACATTAAAGCAATATTAAAAAAATAAAATAGCAAATTCTAACGGCAAGAATAATTAAATTTACCGCTTCAACAGCTTGCTCAAAGTACTGGGCAGCCTTTTCAAAATAAACCTTGGCCTCATCTTGATCGGGAGTCAAGAATGCATGGGATGTATGCGCGTTTCCCAAGCACCAAAGAGTATCGTGCTTACTCGGACTAGCCTCTAGTGCCTCCTCCAATTTTGATATAGCATCTACAGAAATTTAAAGCAACAATTTTGGTTAGTCATGCTAATCTTTTACCTCTTTTTTTCCCCTAACAACCGGTAACAAAAGTCCCCTACCAATACCCAATTCCTACACAAGATTATATCATTTCCTTTATTTTCCCCCAAACCCGTAGATATAAATTTTAACTAAACTCTTTTTTATTATATTTTTTCTACCAGTTTAGACAAAAATAGCATATTTTGAGCATGTCTGAAATCAGAAAGCTTACTTCTCAATCTTTAAGTACTTTTTTGCTTAAGAGTAGGGGAAAAAAGGATAGACAAGTGTTTTTGAGGACTAAAATTTACTCAAAACTAACTTAAATTTCTTAAGACTTAACAAAACGTGCTCTTTAGCGACAACAATAAGCCGAAAATAAATGAAGGTAAGGCAATGTACCTAAAATCATCTTCTTCGAATCCGGTACGTTCTGGAACTGAGATAACTCCAGTAACGCACCTCCCCATCTCGTCAAGTTCTGCATCAAACAACGAAAAAAAATAGTATTTTCACCAGAAAAGAGACGAATGATAAAAATTCCACACTTACCGGCAAGACGCATACACGCAATTAACTAAACCAAAACATATATATACATATATTTATACAGCAATAAGTATATGAAGAGATTGTACGAACATCGGCGTCGATGGGGTTTTTGGCATAGGCGGCTTCCGCTGTTTTGCGAGCATGCTCGAAGAAAAGGATCCGATCAAACTCACTTTCCATATCCATGTCCACTGTTAAAGATTTTTTCTTTTTCTATGATTCTTTCAAAATGATATTTGAAATCCCCTCTTCCCCACTGGTTAGGGTTTTTACTTACCACAATACTAGTTTAGAATTTAACAATGGATGACGGCCCGTTGTTTTATGAAAAAGTCACTATTGGTCCTTAATCTGATGTGTCTATAGCGGGTTAGTTTTATTTGTTTTAAGCTAAAATGGGGAATGTATTTGATTAATTATTCCTCTCTCAACGTTTCTTGATTAAATGACCTCCAATTATGAAATATAATAAACGAACAATGGCAAATGTTATAAATATCCCTACCATAGAAAAAGACTCTAACACCCATTTCATTCCAATTAATTCCCAAATTCAAATTGAGGTTTTCAAATCACAATTACGTGTTTTCTCATCTTCAACTACCATACTTATTACTCTAAAATTCTCTTATCTATTACAGTCTTCACCTATTTTGAGTATCTTTTGAGCATTTGAACAAGAGTTTGATAAGCATACTATCTACATTGAAAAATTTCATTATATTTGAAGAAAGAAGAGAGACACTTTTAGAATTTTCATGTATATTATACATTTTTATTGAATAACATTTTAGTTGGTGTTATTTTTTGTATTGTCTGCAACTATAGGATGAGAATGGTGCTTCAACTGTTATCTGATAGGTAGAACAACACTCCAGCCATTTTCTGCTACGAAAAACAACACTACAGTCGATATTTATTGTAGTTTGATTTTTCAATGAAAATATATCTAATAATGGACTATCTAATGTATCTAACATATAAATGTTGATCATGTCACAAAGAACGATTGAAACGATATGTCTGATATGTTATCGAGTTGGTGAAAGTACAAATACAATATATACATAATAATAAATAGGCGATTAAAGTAATAAATAAGCATATCTCTCAAATTTTGTAAGAGGCATGTCTATCTTGTAACTTAAAAAAGTTTAACTTATTGATTATCGAGGGCACGAACGAGCTGTGGTTGTTTATACTCGCGTATATAGACAGAACGACACAAGTGTCGTTTCATTATCAGTAACGACGCTTGTGCTGTTCTGTTGAATTCTTCAATATTTTACTTATTTTCTAACGCAACAACATCAAACATTGAATCTTATAACTTAAGAAAATCAGAAAGATTGATCACATGACAAAAACGTTGAATTGACATAAATTATAAGATATCGAGTTGATGAATCATTGTAATGATTTGTTAGAAAATATAATTAATTAACACATTTCTCAACTTTTGTAAACGGCATGTCCATCTTACAACTAAAATGCGTTCAACTTATTGGTTCTCAGGGCATAAATCCGTCATGACTACATATACTAGTGTTTATAGACAGAACAACATGTGTCGTTTAACAGCTATTGTATCGTTCTGTTGATTTATCTAATAATTTGCTTATTTTCCAACGTAATGACATCAAACATTAGATCCTCTAACTTAAGAAAGATAGAAAGGTTGACCACGCTACAAGAATTGTTGATTTGACATAGATTATAAGATATTGAGTTGTGAAATAATAAGTTATTTTATTAATTCGTTAGAAAATATAATTAATAAGCATATCTCACAACTTTTGTTAACGGAACGCCCATCTTTCAACTTAAATGAGTTCAATTTATTGGTTCTTGAGGCATGAATGAGTCACGACTGCATATACTTGTGTTTATAGACAGAACGACACAAGTGTCGTTTAACGGCTCTTTTGTCGTTCTGTTGATTTCTCAAATATTTTTACTTATTTTCCAACGCAACGACCTCAAACCTTGGATTCTCTAACTTAAAAAAATTAGAAAGGTTGATCACGTGACAAAAGAACAGTTAAATTGACATAGGTTATACGATATCAAATTGGTGAAATCACATATCATTGTATTGATTCGTTAGAAAATATAATTAATGAACAGATCTCACAGCTTTTATAAACAGAGCGCCCATCTTTTAACTTAAATGAGTTTAATTTATTAGTTCTCAAGGCATGGATGAATCGTAGCAGCGTATACTTGTGTTTATAGACAGAACGACGGAAGTGTCGTTTAACAACTCTTGTACCATTCTGTTGATTTTTCAAATATTTTGCTTATTTTCTAACGCAATGATCTCAAACTTTGGGTCCCCTAACTTAATAAAGTCAAAAAGATTGAACACGTGACAAAAAACGGTCGAATTGACATAGGTTATACAATATCGAGTTGGTGAAATCATAGGCCATTGTATTGAATCATTAGAAAATATAATTAATGAGCACATCTCTCAATTTTTGTAAATGACATGCCCATCTTTCATGTAATGCATTAAACAAAGGAAAAAAAAGTCAAACTTCAAAAAAAATTAAAAAATGACAAAGGATGAAACCAAACGGCAGGCGGCTATCAAACCAACACATTTCCAATGTATTATATATAAACGTAATCCAATCTTTAACACACACATTACACACACACACACAAAGAACTATACAGAGAAGAAGAAGAGAGAAAAAGAGAAAGGAAAAAAGAGGAAAAAAAAAGGGAAAACTTGTCAACGTGTTAGGAATTAAGTGAGTTATACTATTAGGCTTAAATTTTTCAATTTTGAATGGTAAGTAAAAGTTATTTATTGAAAGATTATGTTTGATTTTATAATTGTTAAGTTAGATTAAATTCAATTTTATTGAAGGGGTTAAGTATAATAAACTATGAAATTGAGTAAAATGAAAGAAAAATTAATTTTAGTAATTAAAGAGACTTTAGAAATCGCCTAAACGTGAAATAATTTTGTTTGGGTATCGCCTATTTAATTATTGAAATTACTTAAATTAGTTAATTGTTGATTTAAAAATTATATTATATTTCAGGCGGCGATACGGATATCGAGACAACGTACCAATCGAGTTGATTTTGGCGTACATAGTTCTATGAGTGGAAAAATATAAACATATTTAAAATATTTATAAATTAAGTATACTGTTAAAGTATGTGCAATTATGTGTTCGAATTACATGGTTATTATGGAAATCTCTTTTATTATGATACATGTGGAATATTAAAGATTATTTATGGCATATTTGTGACTTGATATGTAAGACATGTGATATTGAGATTTGTTTGGTATGCGAGACATGCAATATTGAGATCAGCTAGAAAAGTACCAATGATTTTATACTTCTTCTAGTTCACAGAGGGGTCTTGGTCGTGTTCTATCCTACACGAAGGGATTTGACCTAACATTGGTCTTGATTATGTACATATAGTTTACAGAGTGACCTTGATCGTGTTCTAAAATTAATTATGAGAGGTCTTTGAGACCGACTTTCGTTCACGAAGGGGCCAAAAGCCCGTGGCGAAAGTTTTTAGCCCGAGGGGCGGATTATATATTTCAGTCAGATGGTACATTTTTGGTGGATTTTTCAACACGTTTGATGTGATGAGATTATAGCATGGTTATCAGCTGATGTTTATATCATGATTTTAAGATGATATTTTATGACCTTATGTGAATATTTCACTTTTTGGCTATAATTACATGATGGTAGCTTGTGAATTATCAAATGATATGAATATGATTTTCAATAAAAATATATAAATAAAAAAGTATAATTATTTTGAACTTCTCCACTCACTAAGCTATCAATTCATATATTTTTCCACGTTTTTCCTTATCAGTTAGCGGTTGAGAATCTGTGCATCTTTTGGAGTTGATCCTTGATTTTGGAGTCAGAGCCACACGACAGAGTTTGTTAGTATGACTCACTTCATAGAACATGTAGTCAGTGTTTTGGGACGTATGTTCATGTCTAGATGTGATTTTGTATCACTTGTAGATAGTTATGTGGCTCACCATGTATTATGTATCCATATGTATGTTTTATTGTATTTCTTCGTAAAAGTGAAGATTTCGGCTTATCTTTATTGTGCTGTGCTATAGTTTGGGACTTGTGTGAAATTGATCACAGGTTGGTTAGTCCTGTTTACAGGGGAGATAATGCTGAAATTTTGTTAGAAAAATGATGTATAAAAAGTGATATATTGTATTTGTAGTAGACTTGATGGTGGGTTCGACTTTTAGTTGGTATCTATCATTGGTGCATGCCACGTCCGGATCTAGTGGTATTACATAGGGCGAGGTGTGTCATTTCAACTGAAATTAGTTCAACTTATTGGTTCTTAGGGCATGGACGGGTCGTAGCTGCGTATACTCATGTTTATAGACAGAACGACACAAGTGACGTTTAACGGCACTTTTGCAGTTCTGATGATTTCTCTGATATTTTACATCTTTTCCACGACAACGACCTCAAGCATTGAACTCCCTAACTTAAGAAAATAAAAAATGTTGATCATGTGACAAATAACAATAGAATTCACATAGATTACACATTATAAAGTGGAGAAATTACAAGGAGTTATCTACATTTATTAGAAAATATAATTAATGAGCACATCTCTCAAACTTTGTACATGACGTGTCCATCTTACAACTCAAATGAGTTCAAATCATCGATTATCAAGGATCGGACGAGCCATGGCGGCTCATACTAGTATTTAAAGACAGAACGATACAAGTGATGTTTAATGGCACTTGTGCCGTTCCTATTATTTTTCCGATATTTTGTATCTTTTCTACTACAACGATCTCAAGCATTGGACCTCGATCTTAAGCATTGGAACTCCTAACTTAAGAAAGTCAGAAATATTGACCATGTAACAAATAACGGTAGAATTCACATAGATTATACGATATAGAGTTGGAGAAATCACAAGTCGTTATCTACATTCATTAGAAAATATTGTTAATGAGCACATCTCTCAAACTTTGTACACGACATGTCCATCTTGCAACTGAAATGAGCTTAAGTCATCGATTATCGACGATAGGACGGTCGTGGCGGCTCATATTAGTGTTTAAAGATAGAACAACATAAGTGACATTTAACGGCAATTGTGCCATTCCGATGATTTTCCTGATATTTTGCATCTTTTCCATTGCAATGACCTCAAGTATTGGACCTCCTAACTTAAAAAGGTCAAAAATATTGATCATGTGACAAATAACAGTAGAATTCACAGAAATTATATGATTAGAGTTGGAGAAATCACAAGTCGTTATCTACGTTCGTTAGAAAATATAA